CTGCAATATATTTATAGATAGTATCCATTTAAATATTTAATGCATTGCATAAAAATTAAATTAAATTAAGTATGAATATGAAATAATAAATATTTTTATTTATATAAGCAATTTAATACTGTTTTTATGCGCCAAGTAAATAACTCATTAAACGATTTTAATAACAAAATAACTAAATTATTTTTTCAACTAAAAGTATTGATTACAAGATATTATGCTAGGTTTTTATTAGAAACTCGCCACATTAAGACTCTTTATTCACTTCTGAGAAATATCTTAAGTACATTTCAAAAAGCAATAGCTAAACTTCTACAAAGTGGTTCGGTGAAATATAAGAGCGAAATGGTATTGTTATATAAAATCGCTATAATTATTTTATTTATTTTTATTGTGTTGTACCGATTATTTTAAAATTCGTTAAATTTATTCGTACAATTTACACTAAAATATATTCGACACTTTCTATAGTAAAATCACCTATACGTACATAATTATATATTTTATTTTTTTTTTTTTTTAACATAATTATTTAGCAATCTGTTATAAACAAATAAACAATAAACTTAATTAATAACATATATACATATTAAATAATCATTAGAATGACGGAGTGAAGAGATCTCCCATTAGAAATGCTTCCTCGGGGAAAAAAAATTAAAAGTTAGACTTTGTTACTTTTTTTTTTATAATTTATATTAGCAGGTCACAACACCAATACGTAAGAAATAAATTAATTATTTTAATTTAAAAAAACTTGTATAATATTTCATAACTCTTCCTAACACATTATTCTTTTCTCTTGTAAATATTATCTCCCGAAAAAACTTCGGAGAAGTAAAAAAGGTCTTCTGTGTTTTACTTAAATCGATAGCAGTATTTGAATTTTGAGGCACAGAACGTTCCATACTTGCCTCTAAAAATTCACATGTCCAAAGATGCACTTGTTCAATTTTTTTTTTTTTTTTTTTGTAGCTGAAAATGTAGTGAAATTTCATGTCGTCGAATTTTCTTCAATAGTCAATTTTGCAAGTTTTAGCACTGCATTTTGAGGTTTGATTTCACTTCTTTATTTACCACAATTTTAATAGGAACTTTCTTTATACTTTCTCTTGCACCTACTAAGCACAGAATTTTGAAGATTGATTTCAATTCTTTATTTACTTCAAAATTCAAGTACTCTCATTCATTTAAGTAAAGCAAACAAGACCTTTTTTACTTCCCCGAAATTTTTTTGAAAGATTTCAACTATTTTTCTGAAGCAGGAGACATCGCAATATGTTGATTCTATATTTATCTTATTTTTCTCCTAATATTAATATATGAGCATTTTTTGAATTGTTCGGCCGTGGTCTTTTCTCCACATTTTCATTATGAATGAGGAACCAACCGTACTTATTGTTTCGTACCATTACACTATATTCTGCCGATGTCATTGTATTATTAAAAAAGATGGCACTCTGAGCTTTATATGAACGGTTGTGAATTTTTACCTAGAAATAATTTTACGGTCAACCTCCCCCCCTCGCTGTTCTAAACCGTACACCGAACTGATGACAATCGGAATATCAGTTTATCGTCAACGGCTTGACTGACGGCTGTTTTTACTGAAATCCACAAGATTTCAGCTTTAATTACGTACAAAGGCAATATATGGTAGGTACATATACCTATAATAATACCCTCAGCAACACACGTGCTATAAAAGCCGAAATCAAAGTCCGGCGGACAACTTGAAATCCGGACTCCGTGAGACGGCAGAGACAGATCCACTTACGGTTGTCAGTCAGTCCGTTCGTCTATCGCTAATATTGTAAGATATGAATATCGAAATATATATTGTGTTATGAGTGTTATGACGAACGACGATGTGCGACGCGACGAGCAGTACGGGACGGATAGCGAGCAAATGAACTTACTGTAACTTGTAAGTTGTAGGAGCAGGAAGCGCGTATGGTGCACTGCAGCGCCGCCGCGGCAACTAAGGTCAGCGCATGCGCACGTGGTCACAACTCGACGCGGTATTGCGAAAGCGAAAACCTGGTAAATTTGGCCGTTCTCCGTAGGTATACGTTGGGTGTAAAAAAAAAAAAACTGCCGTTTTCCTCTATGTATAGTACCTATATATCTCTCTCTCTCTTTCTCTTCGCTCTGCGCTACGACACCGGACCGCCGTAAAGCAAAAAAGCTCTCTAGCGAGATCTATCGATGTACATGAAACGTACACAATTTAACTTACAATCAATATTTTCGTTAGATAAATTCATTGCATTTTTTATATTTATTCTTATAAAATGTACAGAAAGATAATTAATTTTTTTATTATTATTATTATTTAAATTAACCATCGGCAACAAAGGCCAATGTGATTTTAAAAAGAAATATACAGTATAATATTATACGTAATATACAATAGAGCAAGCGGATGGCAAATCCGCAGCCCGTCTTGGATAATTTTACGGCCCTTGAGGTTTATCACACATTTGTAAAAAAAATGTATTTTCGTGCCAATCGAATATTCCGCGGGATGTCCGCACGATGCGGTGTCTATATTATTAAACGTATCGCAACAATTATAATAATTCTAATACCTACTCTAATCTTAAAACAACATATTATTATAGTTAGGTACAACTAATAGAAAATTATATTGTCAATATAAAGCGTGGCCAATAACGGACATAATCTGACCGTTCACTGTGACTTGAAATACGCGGTTGAAAACTTTTTTTGTTTTGTTCAAATTTAAAATATATAATTTAGTATGCGGTTAGTGAGATTACAATGTATTTCTAAAATGGTCCACAAAATAATTAGGGTTAACCATCCCTGCAATAGAAAATTATAAATTTTGTACGATAATTAATTAATTTTATGATTTATTTATTAGTTTTGACAAAAATATGAAGTCGACTATTTATTTGGAGAATTTTTAAATAATTTGAACATGTAATCTAATATAGGTAGCCTTTTTCTTAAACTCCTTGTATATGTGAGACATTCCGTTAGGATATGTTTAATAGTCAATTGGACTCCGCATAAAAGACGAATTATTGGGTCTTCTGCTCTTCTTTGCTTATTAGAAAGCTGTGCGATATTTATGAATGACCAATACGAAGCCTGTTTATTGTAACCTCAAGTTTCCTTGGCATATCCAGTAGATGTGGTCAAAGAGATACATTTAATTTTATCTCGTGGAGTTTGGCAATTTTAAAATTCCAGCTTGCTTACCAAGTGTAATGGTATTTGATTTTAATCAATAATTGAACATTTCTTTTAGATATTATTAATGTAAGAAAGATGAATAGAAGAGTCGTTACTTTTATTGTTTCCAGGCCTGCCTTTTTGTTTCTTCGATATTACAATGCGCCGGGATCCAAAAGATAAGTATTTTGAATTTTTTATTTATGATTTTGAAAATGAGGTTTTAAATCTTTTTGGTGATATCAAATGAATCGTGCACGTTTTCTTAATTATTTATGACACTAAATAAGTCTAAATATATGATTGTATTTTTTATATTATATTTTTTTAATTGATCAAATGCTTTTAATATTGCGAGAGCTTTATTATTAATATGCGAGAAAATTTAGCACGAGTCAGGAAGTTTATACTTGTGTTTGGTGTTTCTCCACATTATCAGGACTTCAATCTTTTCGTAGCGCTTTGATGAGGCTCTGTACATTTTTTCGTCACTGCTTTTGTGATTTAAGGTGAGAAAGTTTTGCTTAATCATGTTAAGGGAAGTAATTATTTTTTTAAAGATAAACAGTTTGTGTTAAAGAAAAGAGACCACGGAGAGTACTAAGGACGAATATAGCGGTCAGTGAGCCAACTATTCTAATTTCTAATAAATAAAAACATTTATAATCAGAAGTTAGGACAGTAAGTATATATATAAGCATATCAATACAGAATAAACATGAATTGTGGTATTGTATTATTAAATTTAAAATCATTAATAAAACATAATAGTCATTAAAACTTTACAGTTTGTTATCGGGAATTGAATAATACTTAACTATTTGATTTATTTTTAATAATTTAATACTATACTATCATTAGCAATAGTTCTATTTAAAATATTAATGACACACATTTAAATAATAATTAAGTGTGACTTCTATAAAAACGATGCATCATCTTAAGTATTTTTATTCTTTACTGAATTCCTCCTACCACTTTACATTACAGTTGTTATTAAATAGTTAGACTTAAATTTTCAATATTCAATTTTGTAACACATATTCAACATGTGCCTGAATTAATGCTTGCCATAGGGTTTTAAAAATAATATAAATAAATAAGTAGTCTTACATCAGTACCAATTTATCATTGATGGTTGTTAAAATATTAAAAAAGTTCAAAGGTAAATAGTTTCATGCCACAATGAACAAATATTGCCACAAAATAAAAATAAAGCAAAATTTTATCATAAATTTAAAAGTACTTTTACTGGACAATAATGCTTTGAATTATTGAGTATCACATTTATATACAAAAAAATACCTTAAATGCATGTTCTACCTACATTTTTATGATTAAAGTTCTTCTTTTAATGAAAAAATTATAGATTTATTTAATTAAGACTAATTTATCCAGATTGGTTCTTTACCACGTGAAACCACTTTTGACAAACATTTTATGAACATCCTTAGAAACTTAAAAAATATAAAATTCTTTAAACTTGAATAATGAATAACATATTTAAATTAAATAAAGATATTATATATCACAGAATCTATATAATGTGCCTATTACGATGCTAACGTAATAATAATAAGTAATAACGCCAAACCAACATATTCGTATAATATCATTATTAGTAAATAATATTCTCAATTCAATCGACTAACTTCTACTATGACATTAAAAAATTATCAGTTAATAGCAATAATAATATTTAATATATTTAAGATATCAAAAAGTAAATATAACACTAAAAAAAAAAAAGTAATATTTTTGTAAAATATTTTTAAATTACATATTTATATTTAATCGCGATTTTCATAGTTACCAATATGATAATTTTATTTTACTTTAATATACTCGAATAATTTAGTAAGATGATAGTACTCAAATTATTCTAATTTTGGTTTGATCATTCTTGAATATTTTAAAAAATAGTAAAAAATAATTTTAAAAACTTTATAAGTAATGAAAATGACTAAAGAAATAAAAATTAATATGACAACAATAACATCCAATAAATAGTATTGATACCACGCCAAATTCAATGCATGAGATTTTAAATGTGGTGCACCTTTATGACGAATTACATACTCTGTCCAGTAAACAACTAATTCTGCTGGTGATATTGGTCGATCTTTAAATCTTTCAGAAGTCATTTTAGCATTTTTCACATATCTATAATAATATAACATAATAAATGATTAATTAGGTATTTAATGTTTTTACTAATGCTAACTCACTTTTCATTATTAATGAGTTCTAAGATATTTTTTAACAATTCATCTTTTTGTACTGTTAACAGATCCATAGAAATTCCCATTCCTGCTTCAACTAAGTTGTCTATGTTTCTTGGTTGATCGTAGAATAGGGGAAATCCAAGAACAGGAACACCTGCATCTACAGCTTCATATACACCAGATATACCTCCATGGCTAATAAATAATTTTACATTGGGGTGCACTAGAAAATTAAGTTGAGTATAAAATTTACTATATAATCGTATTTTAATCAAAAAATCTTACTAAGTATATCGCGCTGAGGAAACCATTTACTTGTCATTACATTTATTGGTTTATCTTTCATTTCTTCCTCACATTTCCATAATACTCTCTGAGGTACTTCTGCTAAAGCTTCTTTAAATGCACTTTGAATATGATCTGGTAATGTTGACATTGATATGACTGAACCAAATGTAAAATAAATCACTCCATGTGGTGAGTTTTCAATAAACTCCAGTATATCCTTAAATCAATAGAAAGAAAAAAAAATTTTAACTTATAATAGTAATCAACCAACAATATAAAACATAATCATCATTTTATAATAGTTAATAACCTTTTCACTACGTTTAACTTTATTAATTTTATCTCATTAAAAAAAAAAAAAAAAAAAAAAAGATAAAAATTATCTAAATACAATTGTTTAGTATTTTCACATATACTATTAGTCTTTTTTTAGATTCTAATTGGAATGATAAATATATTAAGTTTATAATGATGTATGATATTTCTATGCTTCATGATACCTTTATGAAGAACGATAATTCTATTATTTTTAATTTTTAATTCTGGTTATTAACTGAATTTTTGATACTTTGAGGACCACAGAAAAATTACTAATATGTTTTAACTTAATCAGGAAAAAAAAAAGAAATTGAAGAAAACGGTAATTTTTTACAAAACCAATTTTAAATTATATGATGTTTTTATGATAATATTCATTATTCAATCAATCTAAAATATACCTAACAAATGATAACTTAAAGTTAATTTTTAAGGTTAATTATTTACTTTTTCTTGTTTTTTTTTTTTTTTTTTGTATATGTATCTAAAACAAAAAAGTTTAATTTTTATAATGATATATGAAGAAGTTATAAGAAAAATAATTTTGTTTCATATTTTTATCTCAGTGAGTAATTATTATTTTGATAATATTCGCAATATTATACTTATATAGTAGTAATTATAATAAAGAGCTCTCTAACATAAATGTAACTTTCATAACTTAAATTATCTAGTCTTCATTTAATTAAACAACATTATATAAATTAGAAAAGAAAAATAATCTTTTCAATATTTCAATTAAATAAAATCAAGTTGAGCGAAAAAATAAAATCTTACATTATTTGTACGTTGTTGCATGATGATAATACAACAAAAAATATATATATATACATATTTGATTGCTATTTAATATTATCATAACAAACCAAATCAATACAATTAAAAAAACGTTTTGGCTTTTAACTGTTAGATAAAATATAATTTCATATGATATGATTTACTATTTAGTATACTTTTAGAATATTCTGCACCGCCTTCAAATGGATACCACTCACGGAAATAAAATTCGGAGAAAAAGGTCTCGATGCTTCAGTAATATGATGACTATTTATAAATAACGCAGAAGGTTGTACAGGCTTTTTTACGTCATATGGTTTCGATTCAATGTATTTAAGCAGATACTTTGTACAACCGAATGTCAACAAACTGTACGACAACAAAGCAGCATTGACGAATCGTTGATCGAACGTTTTGGGAATACTGTCATCGACCATAATATTTGATACCAACGCGAGAATAAGCATATATCCAAGGTAGTTATATTCCAAAAACTTACCATTGAATGCAGTGCTAAATATATTATTGGCAACTTCAACTTGGTGGCTATATATGACATACAGTTCAACCAGATGGGTTCGACAAGGACCAAATCAAAATTGGTACAAACGAGGCCTTCTAAAATGTCTTTAAATTGTTTATTTCCATGAATAATATCCCAATAATATCTTGATCTACGTGGACCAAACTATAAAGTCTTAGTTGGATTGTCGAACACTTTCATTATATCTGTGAAGCTCATCCCAAATTTAATTGATATATCATCAGATGTATCGATTTCCGTATAATTTTCACGGTTATCTTCTGTAATTGGAGTAAATACAGTAACATGATGTCCTTTATCCGTCAACGATCGTAGTACTGAACTAAAAAAGTTCCAATGGCTTTTGCCTGCTACCGTTTCTATTGCTAAAATGTTTGCACTTTCCGTCGGTTGTATCCATGATCCACGAAACGTTGAAAATATTAAAAAAACTATCAACAAATATAAAACTTTTATATTGCAATCCATATTAAAAAATATATGCAATTCAAGTTATCTATGTATTTGGACTGTTTGCTACATGTAATAAATTAAATTACTAATATATAATTATTAAACACTAATTTTCAACTAATAAATTGAGTATCGTATTAAAATCCTCAATTCATATTGTAGATAATAACAATAAGTCATTATTTTTTGTTATCTCGTTTTCTTAAAATTTCTTAAGAGGACGTGATACCCACATGTGTTGTCTCCGTCTTACAAATGCGTAACATGGTAAATTTTACGCTCAGCAGATCACGTTTTGCTTCGTTAGATTAAAAATTAGAGTGAATTGATCTCTTATAAAATTTAAAAGTAAAAATATTATAAAAATTGTACATCTTAAAATACTTATAACTCGCTTCAAAATTAAAATATAGTAAAAATCCCATGAGGTCGTCTAAATAATATTTTTACTTTTAAATTTTATAAGAGGTCAATTCACTCTAATTTTTAATCTAACGAAGCAAAACGTGATCTGCTGAGCGTAAAATTTGCCATGTTACGCATTTGTAAGACGGAGACAACACATGCGGGTATCACGTCCTCTTAAAAGTAACCTAAAGCATATGCACTTCTAACAAAGCAAAAATATTCCTATCAGTGTTAAATTTTATCTAATTATAATGTTCTAAAGAGTAAAAAGTAAATTATTTAAAAGATAACAAAATTAACAGGAATATCATCTTATTTTCTTAACCATTTACCATATATACATATTCCACCACTTATAAAATTATACTTTTTGTAGTTATTTATAATTATCACTATATTATCTTAATAATGTGAATATTGTATTTATAAATTAGTAGTTATTAGTTACTAAGGTTCAAATTATAAATATTTTAATAATAAATAGAATAGAATTATGTTAAAACAATAGCAAAAACGGCCTGTAAAAATTAACCTATAAACTTTTACCACAGACTTTAATTGTTTATAATTGTGTTAAGGGAATTAGAAGCGGCGATTTTCTGTCTTTGTCTAACACACGTGTAACATAGCATTATAGACGTATTCTATTTCCAACGTACCTATTGATATAATGAAACGATAAGAATTATGAAAACAGATATAAATTTGTAGTCAAGTCTACTTTAGATCGACTTTCTCACATTTGTGATTTTTTTGAACTAAACTTCTCCGAAAATTGAAATATGTCAATTTTTTAATCACTCTTTTTTAATATATCATTTTTAAGATTTTCGAATGATAATATCAAAAATGTGAAAAAATCAATCTAAAGTAAACTTGATGAAAAATTCATATCTGCTTTCATAATTCTAAATCGGTACGTTGGAAATAGAATACGTCCATAATTCTATGTAACACGTGTGATAGACAAAGACAGGAAATCGCCGCTTCCAATCCCCTTAATTATAACTAGAGACCGACATTATATGAACATGCAAATGCATGTTATATTATTATTATTAACAGCTCGGATAACTACAGTACATAATAATTAATATAGTAAAAGTTAATAAATAATATTATTAATTTTTCTATTAAAATTAGAAAAAAATTATATTCACTGTAAGCAATACAAAAATATGAGATACAAAATAATATTATTCTAAATTGAAATTAATTTTGGTTCTTGTATTTTTCTATACAAATATAATGAATTATACTATTCATTGCAAAAAGTGAAAATTTTCATTGTTTTATTAATTTTTTTTTTTTTAATAATCGTTAAATATTTTCCTCCTAGTTGTTTATATTTTAAATCTTATCAGTTTTCAGTAAAGACCGGATTCTCGTGCAAATGCACTTTTTAAGGCGTGTCCTAAATTCTTTAAAAACAAGCTACGAATTCAAATCTTTTGGTTCTATCCTAGTCTTGTATTAAATCTTCAAAGCTTAGATAAAAATGATATTTTTTATGAATTTCTAATTATAAAATAATATTGTAACTATACATTTTTGAAAATTTTAATTGAATAAGTAACTAACTTATTACTAACTTTTGAGGAACTTAGTATTAGATTTTTAAGCATTTCTCCCAGTGAATAATTTTTAATCAACATTTTTAAAAAAAAATCAAGGATTTCAAAATTTTTTATACCTATAAATATGCAATAAAAAATGTTACCATAAAATGAAAATATTAGATGAGAATTTCAAGTGTCTACTGTAAATATTTTTGATATACAACAAAATATCAAAAATTGAGAAAAATAATTATTTCATCTGTGAACATTTTAAAAATTTGAAATTAAAATAATCATAAAAAATTAATTTGGGCTTTGTAGATTTTTTGTATGAGTGATAAACCAAAATCCAAATTTTTATCATTACCTACATTTAAATTTAAATGCACATAAAATTATTCTAAATATTGATTTACAATCATATTCCTAAAGCAGATTTATTATATTAAAAACCTTGTCATTAAATTATTTAACTATTAATGGATAATTTTACTATAATAACTTCATTTACTCACATTTGGTATACTTTTTGGTGGTTTTAGATGTATTCCTCCAATCGGTATGGCATTTACAGGCATAGGTCTTGATGCATCAGTAATGTAATGTGTATTCATAAACACCAACGACGGTTTTGTTGGTTTTATCAGATCAAATGGCTGTACATCAATTTTTTTCAGTTCCATTTCTTTCAAAATTGATGCCAAAAAACTAAAACCCCAAAGTACGACATTTGAAAATCGTTGAGCAAATGTTCTAGCTACCACACGATGAGCCAACAAATTAGGTACAGTTACTGGATTCGACACATCTCCAAAAACAATGTGTTCAATGTAAGTGATCATCGGCGAAGGGATAACGTATATAAGTGGCAAGTTCAGCTTGGAAGCTACATAGGATGAGCATTCCGACGACGTTATTTCAGCGATGATAACATCATATTTTGATTTATTACTGCTTAATATTTCTCGCATATATTTTTGTTCATAAATAATACTGCAAGAATTGCGAGACAAATCCATGAGAAAAGGTACCATAATCGTAGTTTTGCCAAATGTATTTAATGTTTCTACGGCATCCAATGAGACTTTCGTCGGTAAGTCTACATAGACTTCTGTATAGTTGAACAGATTTCCATCGAGAAATGGAGTAAATACGGTTACATTATGACCATTATCCGACAAAGTTCGGAGAACTGCACTAACAAAATTCCAATGACTCTTACCACAAATATTTTCTATTGCAAGGATTTCCAATGCATCGACAGATGTATAAGTCATCGAAACGGTTAGGATATAAAATACTGATAACTTCGCCGTACATAAAAACGAGTTCATTGTTACGGTTACTTTAAAAGAACTGAATATTATACCATACATTTTTTTCGTATTAGTTCGTTGAAACGGCCTTATCGGTTTTTATCAATGTCTTTTCAGTTTGAAAAGTATAGTATATTAGCACACTACTATCCCTTCTCTAAGAAAAGAATTTTCACTAGTATGGACTTCATTACCAGTGGAGTGGGTGAAGCAATCGGAACGAAGGCAGGGAGAGACTACGAAGTAATATTATTTTTTTTTACACTGTTAATAATATAATTATATTATATATGTAAAGATATTTTTTCCTTCCCTATACTATAATAGTTAAATAATATTTGTCAAAAAATTACATACTTACAATTAACATACCATTAAATGTAGTTTTTTGAAATTTCCGTAAATTATATACATACATCTAAAATATAATTAGTTGGTCAGTTCATAATACTCAAAATTAGTACGGATTCTATTAAATATCATGATTTTGTGTCATAGAAAGATTTTATTTGGGTTCATAGGTACATATTTTAACAGGTTTCTATTTTCTATTAATGATTTTTCATTATTATTGTAAATAGTATGTAGATTAATGTATAATTTTAAATCGTATTTAAGCATATTTTGTTTAAGTTTATAAAATAATTAAACAGCTATAGTAATTATTTACATTATCAAAGACTTAGTTAATATTTTCCATATTGTTGAATAATATACATATATACCTACTTATAAAATATACTAAGTATATGAATAATTTTAATGTATAAGTTACTAGTTTTCTAATCAGATTATAATAGGTTATAAATCTCTCATAAAAAAATAAGTTTACCAGAAATTCATGTTTACATTAATATTTTTTGTTAGAAAAAATTTAGTTAATTTTTTCATATCTTAATTGATATTCTAAATTAAACTCGACAAAAAATTTTAGATCTTCGAGCATTAGATATTTGTTCACATTATAATACAAACATTTTTATTACTGCTACGTTATTACTTAAAAGGATGTCTTTTTCATATAAATGCGTGAATGCTTAATAGCATTTAAATAATATAATCTTAACTGCATTTTTAAATACTTAAAATAATGTATCGTAAACTTTAATTAATAATTAATAATTATGATAAGTAATATAAGGGTCCTAGAAGTTAGAAAAATTGATTTTCACTTTAAGCAATTTGGACAATTTATAATAAAAATATTATAAAATAAGATTCTTTTGTAAAATATTCTAATTTAAAATAATTTTTGTTTTGTAATTTTATCTTTTATATTATAATACATACTATAATTTTATATTCAGGTTAAACAAATGTAAGCCCCCTAAAAAATTAAACAGTTAATTCCTCTAAAAAAATGTTGCTACAGTATTACACTTACGTTAATTCTCTTAAATTAGCGTAATCCAGAGGACATCACGTGAGGGTGGTTCTATTTATTCTCAAAAAATATGTGTATTTTAAATTAAATTTATACTTCTCTGTTCATATTTTATACTTAAAACAATTCATCGTCATGCTAGTTTAATTAAAATTATTATTAGTGATTTCGTCATGTTGATAATTATTTTTTAATTGAGTTATCATGTAAAAAATTCCTTACTACAACAACACCACTTCGTTTTGCCAGTTTGAATCAATATAATATGTTCAAAATAATGTTTATCTATTTTGCTCACAATTAATGAACGTTCATGATCATTGATCATAAATTATATTTCTGATATACGTACGGATTAATTAGTAAATAAATACGTTATGTTAAAACATCATACAAAATACAAACGATATAAATTTATTATAAAATAATATATATCAATTATGTATATAAATGAGAAGGGAAAATAATCAGACCAATTATATTTATTTATAGTTATTATTAGTATTATAAAAAAAAACTAAATTACTTGTTCGAATAGATTAGTATATGTGTTTATCTACATGATTAGATTAGATAGATGTATAATTTTATGACTTAAAAATTGCTATTTGATATAAAAAAAACAATATAAGTTGAATTATTATTAATTAAGATGTGTATAGTTTAAATTTAATAATCATGATTAATAAAATAGGTATACACACTATACAATTTATCTACATTATGATCAAAATTTAATAAATTTGTTTATTAAAATTTAGAAAATTAGAAAGAACTCAGTTATTCTTTATTTGATCCACATACTAGTTATAATAAAAGTAGATTCATTTTTTTAAACTGAATAGAGATAAATATTTTTGCTATATTAACTTTTAACTTATCGAATTAAATTTATGATTTGTTAACTGTTAACTTCTAACTTACTCTTAACTTAACTTGAATTAATTATTTTCATTAACTTTCCCATCTTTGAGAATCAAATAGGTATTATACGGTAGCAAAATGTTTTTAGGGGAATTTACAAAATGTTAGGGAGTTAACATGTGTTCATTCTGATTAAATTTAATTAAAATAAAAAAAAATCATATAAAGTTTTTTCACTGGCTGATTCTTTTAACAGTACAAAATAACAAACTAGAACCAACAAATACGTTAGGTTTTTAAAGATAAAGTAAAATAGTTTAAATTTCTCTACAATTTATTACCAATGTAATATTTTCCATTTAAATCATACATTTAGATTTAGATTTTTACAAAAATAAAATTAAAATTCTTCCAAATATATATAATTATTATATTAATAATTAAAAAATTAAAAATAAAACTTTTTATTGAAAATATGTAATTCCTGTAAGAAAATCTTTAATATTTGCATTATTGTTGTAATTGATACATAAAAATGTATTTTAGTTGTTCTATCTTGATAATTTATTTACCGAGGAGTCTTGTTATATACCCCCAATATACTATACTATTCGACTTTAAATCTATTAATACTCTTTTACTTTTTGAATGTATTGTTAAAACGTCAAATCGAAAAATACATACAACTTATAAGTCATGTGAAACAATTATTCCACGTTTCTAAAGCATTATTTGTGGTAGTTTAATTTTTAATTGGTATTACATAGTAGCGGAGAAGTAATGGAGATTCACAGTAACGAAAAAGTCTTCTTTCATTATTATACAGGTGATTTGCAATAAATTGTCGTGCTGTAAATTTTCATGTGATCAATTATTTGTAGTCTATTATTTACAATCAATTGATGAGGTATTCATTTTCAAGTATTAAATAATTAAAAATTAGTATAATATTATAATAATTATAAGTTATAACTATATTTTTATGTTTTTAATGCGCGTAATTAATAGCATTTAAATAATTATTTAATTCATGTAGATTACATTTAAAATATTTAAAATAGTTAACAATTTTCTTCATTTATTATATTTTAAAGGTTAATGCATAAAAGGTACTCATTAAAATTTATTTATTATTATAATAGTATTGAACTCAGGTAGTATCTTAAAAATTAAAATTTTCATTATTTTTTAAAAATATTAAAAAAAAAATTGAAAAAAAATATTAAAGAATAATAGTAATCATAATTTAATAATTAGTAATAAATAAAATCTTTAATAAGATTATTTTAAACCAATTTTTGGTAAAATTACTCAATTATTTTCTGTGAACGCTATTTAAATAGAAAATATGAGTAATAATGTACAACTTTCATAATATATTGCATAGTTTTGTGAAGTATTTTAAAAATTATCAAACATCTCACATTTAATATTTACTTAAACAACTTAATTTATTTATATTATATATTATGCATGAACTCATTTATAAAAATATTTTTTCAATATTAACTTGTGTTACTTTAAATGCAAGCGAATAAAAATATTAACATGGTTAACTTACTTTTGATATAATTTTTGGTTGACTGAGATGTATACCACCAATCGATATAAAATTTGATGGCAGAGGTCTCGACTGTTCAGTAATATGATGAGAATTGACAAACACAAGCGAAGGTTTAATGGTCTCGATCGAATCATACGTCTGAGGATGAGTTTTTTTAATTTTCCATTCGTGGTATTCTCTCGAGATCAAACTGTATACCAATAGCGCTGAGTTGATACATCTCTGACTAAATGTTCTAAGAAATGCATGTTTACTTAGAATATGCGGTACAACTGCAGGGTTTGGTGTATGTCCAAAAAATATTGGTTCTATGAATGTTAACATTGGCGATGGGATAAGGTACACTACAGGAATTCGAAGTATGCCTGCTACATGTGAAGCACACTCGGTGGCCATCGGTTCAATCAGTAAAATCTCGTAATCTGAATTATTTTTGACCGTTAAGATCTTATTTATGTCATTGTTATTATACATATTATTACAACGACTTCTTGTAATATTAACGCTTTGGGATATAAGCTTTACGGTTGAACTGAGTGTTTTCAAGATAGTCAAAAAGTTTGTTGAACTTGTAGTTGGATAGTCTTTAGATGTATCTATCAAAGAACAGTTCACACCACAAAAATCAATATCGGTAAATGGAGAAAAAATGGTCAAATTATGTCCTTTTTCTAATAAAGACCGTAATACTGAACTCATAAAATTCCAATGGCTTTTTCCACCTGTCAGCTCAACTGCTAAAATTCGTGCCGAATCGGCTGGCAAAATTATTGTTGAGCATCCACATACGAGCAATATTGCTATAATCATTAAGCGGGACATGATTTTTAATTTAATATCCTGTTCAACCTTGAACTAACATTTACATTCCTTTTTTCTGTGGCCTTTACGTTCTTCCCTATAAATAATATAAACAATACGTATATAAATACTAATTATTGATTATTATGATTAAAGTCGGAGCATAAAAATATATAAATTTATAATGTAAACATAATATAGAAGCAACACAATATTAGAAAAGTTCATACATAATAATTCTTTTATAAATTGTATACCCATTTATCTATATAGGTTTTAATTTTACAATAAAACGAGTGTTTTATTTTTAACTCATTAAAATTCTGGACAGTTTTTAGAAGAAAATTTTATCTAATATGTAATTTATGCAAAAATAAAAATCTTCCTAACTTTTAAAAAAATTTGGAAAAAATTACAAAAAACTGCGGAGTAATAAAAATTTTAACGTATCACCTAATAGTTTTATTAATTATTTATGTTATTATTTTATACACAAAATATAATCTATTTATAAAATATGTTGAGTCGTTTTAAGAAAATGTATTTTTTATAACTTAATTGCAATTAACATTAATAAAATGTTTGTTTATTAACCGAAAAATTTGAAAATATAACATAAAATATGCTTAACAATAAAAAAAACTAACTTATTTATAGTTAGAAATAAAGAATTTAAACAAAAATAAAGCTTATTCCCTCAAATGATTTTAATTAGTTTATTAAAATTTAAAAAAAAATTAACTTTGAAGCTTACATTTTCGTCAGGTTCTATATTATATTATTATTATTATCTTTACATAATCATATTATTTTATGATTATTAATTAAAAAAATAAATAAAGTGAAAAAAATTTTGACCTTTTTAATCTAATCTACCCCAATTAATAGAATTAAAATATTTACTAAATAAATAATATCATTAAGTTTAGCAGGTTTAAGTAAAATATAAATATAATTTAATTTAAAAAAATATTTTCAATAACAGAAATCAATAAATAATTCTAAAACACTTAAATTATTATTATTGATAGTTATTCGTCATTAACGAATAATATCCATTGAATATACTGTTAGTATTTTAATTATGAAACAAAATTAATTAATTAAAAGTTTTATCATTACATAAAAATTAAATTCAAGTTAAAGTTTAAAAATAAGAGCCATAATTTTTATCGCAATTTAATGTTATACTGCAACAGATAGAAAAAATAATATATGAATGAGATGGGAATATGTATAATTATTATAATCATACGTACTAATAGAAAATGGTTATTATAAGTACTTATGCCAACACTAATCACAAGGTAATAATAATTCTGCTATAGAAACAAAGAACACACCACACACACTTGCAAACACTGTAACGAGCGAAGCAGAACTAAAATAATTCATTATTTCATTATATACAAATGCAATATTATTAAAATAATAGCATTATAAATTGTTCTCATAGCATTTTTTTAAAGTTCTAATACCTATAAGTTTTTATATTGTAAAAAAATTTTTTTTAACTTCAAATAGCTTAAAATACATGTAAAACTTATTTAAAAATCTCATTTTATACAGAAAAATATAAATTAAATAATAGCGAAAAGTTTCAAGTTTCTACGACTGATATATTTGAACGATAACAAAAATTGTTACTAAATATTACACTGTCTAATTTCGTCAAAACTTCAAACGCTATTAAAATATTAATATTATTACGCTAAACTTTTGATTTTAAATTAAATAAGAAAAAAATATGAAAAATCTTAGATAAGAATTTTTAAGTCTTCGGTATTAAAAGAAAACTATAGATTTTTAATTACAAAATAATTCATAAATGTATGTGATTTGTCGAAATTTGAACTTAAAATGTTTATAGAATAAAATCATGACATATTTTTTCAATATTGTTTTTTAATTTCTGTATGAATATCTAATGAGAAATCTTGTACAAATTTGTATTATTTTTATAAAATATTATAATTCGTAAATCAAATAATAAACTTAAAGTTGAAAATCTTCCCGATTGTTTTTAAAAGTACATAGAATTATGCCTTTGGACTTTCCTTTCTCCTGCTACCAAAAAAAATGAATCAATTACATCTAATTTTCTACCAGAAACCATCCGTGAAATTGAAAATCTAAGTATTTTTTTTTACTATAAAATGTGTACTTACGAAGAATTAAAAAAAAAAAATAATAAATTTTAGTAATTTTTAAATCAATTAATTTAAAATAATTCAAATATTTAACTTTAACCTGCAATAATTAGCTTAATTATACGTATAAGATGTTCATTAAAGTAATAACTAATTTGACGATTAGTATACAATGTATAATATAATATAAGTAATAAAAAATATTAATACTAATTGTTTGTTCTTCACCTGTGATATGAAATAAACTGCAATGATTAGCGCACGTATAAATGTAAATATTCAACAATAACAATAAAAATAATCACGAAGACGTGATATTAACTACCGCAAAGCAAAAATATCATATCTGATTAAAAACGGTGGAAAACTACAAAAAATATATAAACACTAAAGCGCAGTTCGGTTATTATAATAGTTTATACTGCTGATATAAATAATAATTACAACTTTAATTTTAAATAACACAACATTATTCACAAATTACTACAGATAGTGTATTTTGTTGTGTGCGAGTATGTGTTATCTTTCAACAACGGAGGCAATTGAAATTTATTAACTATAGTTTTCATCTTTTGGTGTAAAACAAATAATTTACGATTTTTTATGATTTTGATGACGTTCATCAACATTTTAATTTTGCATAACAAACGCTATAAAAAAAAAATATAATGTGAATTACGCTCAAGTTTTATTTTGATTCCAGTTTGAAACACTTAAAAATCTCTTATTAAATTGTCATGTTTTTTGAATAAGCATAGGTACAATACTTTTTGTCGAAATTCAAAAAAAAAAATAATTTAAGCAAATGGGTATCACTCTAATGTTTTTTGTGATCGTAACAATTTTTCGAAAATTTGAACTTAAATATTTATATATATAAAAAATATGCCAATGTATTGTTTTATAATTTTATACAACTAAACAAACAATTTATGTAAGATATTGTATTAAATTTTCAAGAGTTTTAACCCAACGAATAATTTTTATTAACATTTACAAAAAAAAAAACCGAAAATTTCTCATACCTATAAATAGCTCAAAAATAGTTAAAATATATTTTTACATTTACCATTCCTACAATTATACGTTTTTAAATTATAACAAAATAATAAAAATTAATTTTTTCAAATTTTGCCGGTTTAGCTTAAAACTATTGTTTTTCTTTATTTTTTATTTTTTTTCGCCATGATCATTAAGAAAAGTGTAAGTAAATTTTTACTTTTGATTCTCCCAAGTATCAACTAGATCCAATTTACAACCAGGAACCAACATCAAAGTGGAAAATCAAAACATTTTTACTTCACCAAATGGTGATAACAGAAACAAAAAAAAAATCATCATATTGTAAAATCAATAGATTTTATTATAGAATTTAATTAATTAATTTAATAAATTCTAAAAAAAAAAAAATTAAAAACTTAAGAACTTTAAAACTAAAAATACTTGACTTAATAACTTTAAAATATTGTTTCTAATATTTTCCTGTATCAAAATTCGAAGGTACTGTCACGACAGAGCTTAATGTAAAAATAAATGATTTCATATGGAGTTTTCAAAGAATTTAAAAATATCCTGTAATAATCGTAATTATAAACATCAAGAATTTTAGCGTAATTATAATATTAAAAGAGCTTAATTGACGTAACTATAAATATTTTAATACTAAAATTTAGAGTTTCCAGAATTTAATTTTTTATTGATTTTACTTTAAACTATCCAATTTTAGGGATTATTTAAATAAATAATTAATTATCTTTCATCTCGTACAAAAAATATTTAAGTAAATTATTTAGATTTAAACAAGGAAAGAAATCTTTCTCAATATTAAAAATTAATTTTCTAATTTGATTGATATATTGATCCAAATAAAGGTATTTTAAAATATTTGTTCAAATATAGACCGTCTACAATCTCTTGAATATTATATAATAAAATAGTTAAGATTACATAACCGCAAGTGTTATCTACGCATAGATAATATATATTATACCAAAATACACGTCCATAAGTTTTGTTTAGTTATATTAGTTATAAATTAATATCACTATATTATTGTGAATTAAAAATGCTAGTACCAACTTAAAGTTAAAAACATCATCTGTGTTCTTTCGTTTGTTTTTTTGTGAAATTTTAATTTATAAGCGACTAAGCGAGTAATGAGTATGTAAAATATTAACATTTAAAAATGATTATAACTTTCCGATTATACGTAAACTATTGAAGAACTTCAACTAGAGAACACTAATTCTTATCTTTGAGATTAATAATAGTGAACTCACTCTTATGTTGGCTAATTACACAAAATTAGGCTACGAAAATTGTTTAAGTATTGACCATCTTTTTAAGACAGAAAATTGCATGTAAATATGATTATGTCATCTTCATTGTTTATAATCGTAATAGACCATTATTTATTTTATTAATAAAAAACACTTACGTAATTTTTTTTTTTTTTCATTTTTTTGGCAAACTGAAATATACCATCGACTTGAATTATACTTGATAGTTTAGGTTTTGGAGCATCGGAAATATTAAGGAAGGTTTAATTGGTTCGATTAGATTAAAAGATAATCATTATTGGCTATTCTTGCAAACCAACTTTTGTACTAAAGCAAAAATACTATATAAATCGATAGCACTGTGTTTGTGAATCGTTCAATTATTGTTTTGCGAATGCTGTGATCCAACAGCTAGGTTTGAATAATGTCCTAAAGGCTAAGACAAAACGTTCTGCACATCAAGTTAGAGGTGGTAGTGTTGTGACGTGCAGCATAATGGTATGTTTAGTTTGGCAAATAAACACGACAAATATTCCATTATTTCAATGAAAACGACATCGAAATTTGATCTGAAATCGGTCGTTATGTTCTTAATGAATCGCATTTTATACATTTTATCATACAATAATTTATATCTTATCTTTTGGTTCTAACATACTTGGCATTACCAATATATTGAGTAGCTCACGATTCTCTTATCGCTAATCACCCCTGTTCGTAACATTAATGATAATATATTATGATATAATTTTAAATATGAGATGTTCTTAATAAAAAGTACTTTATTACTCACAGAAAAATAAATAATTAAATTATAAAATATCTCTCAAATAGCTGTTGATACAGTGACATGCCGTTTCGCCCAGAATCGTTATATTTATATGAAGTGAATCAACATTGATTTCAAATTTAACATATCCACCTACTCAACAACAAAATCATTTTAAATGTCGCTGTTTTTTTTTACATTTAAAATAAAATAACATATCTGCAAACCAACTTACTAAATTATACTTATCACCTTTTCGTAATAATCGTTTTTATATGTATGTAATACTATAACAATAAAACAATAAACTAAACCCAATAGCCTTTCAAATCATCACACACGTATCAATTGTTACTTGTACACTAAATATAAATATAATATAATGTACCTAGTAATTAAATAATGTATAGGTAATTCTTGAAGTATCCAAATAATAATCAGTAGCTTTCTAATATGATAGATAACCCTGATATGATAATGACATAATAATAATTTTAAATTTTATATTTTCATCCATATAGATATTAAGTACCTACGAAATAACGCACAACATATTAGTACATTTATCATTATAAATTATGAATCTTATAAACGGTGCACAGTTCACTTACAGTTATTTAAAAACAATAGTTTATTTAAAACGTAAATAGTATATTCACTATATAGCGTTATATTATTTAAAATGTCATCACCTTGAAACCTTCCAATTAATCAGGTATATTGTAGAAATATTAAACAAAAAAAAAAAAAAGAAAAGATTTTGTTCCGTGTGTTTATCACCATTCACTAGCATACAATTTACTTAACATACAATTAAAAATTGTTTAATTATAATCTACATGCATATATTTAGATAAGCAAATCATTTATCATATGATTTTTAATTGCAATATATTGTAAAATTATTGATTATTTGATTTATAATGGAATCATTTTTTTATAAAATTAAAGCCATGCAGCCCAGCTGCCTACCGAATACCAATCAATTTAGAATTAAATTAATTATTCCAACATAAGATTTAGAATTTAAAGATATATTATTTATAAAAAAAAAAATACATGAAAATGTAAAAAAAATCATTTTTAATGTAAAATAATGCAATTGTGTGCATAATTATTTAACTATTTTAGTATTAAAAAAATGTACTAATACCTAGTATAAACCTAAATCAACTTTAAATATTTCATAATAAATAATTAATAAATACATTGATTGAATCATATTAAAATACCTATTTATTTTAAAGTTAATTAAAATAGCAATAAAATAATTTTTATAATTTTAAAGGGGACATGTTTGATATTATTATTGAAAATAGGATAGACTCCATTCCAAAAACATAATGTGTACACCGTCAATACCAATAAATAAAATTAAATATAAATATACAGCGCTATCTTGTGTCAGTCTTAATCTATTAAGTTATGTTATATAACTGAATATAGATGGCGTTAAATAATACAATATAATATACACAATTAATAAATAATAATATAATATGCAGTTATCTATTTTAAGCTTTTTTAAAAAAAACTCAACTTATCAATTATTTCATACTTTATTCGTGTAATAAACTAAGATTAAACTCTTCGTTACACCAATCCTCAAACGTATACTTAAGTATAAATAATAATATAAATAAAAAAACAATTCCATTATAAATTAATAATTATAAACAACTATGTACTTTTAGTGTTACTATATTATAAAACAATAACATCTTACGAGGAAAACATTTAAAATACTTGGTGTTTATAAGCTTATTTATAAAATATGTCACATTTTAAAGACACAAACTTTTCTTAAAATTAATTCGATTTTAGTGATGGCTTAAAAATAATTTTGTTTATCAACTGCAATGTTTTCAATCCAATGTAAGAAAATGATAAAACTATTAATAATACAATTGCTATAACGTCCAATGAAAAATATTGATACCATGTTAAATTAAATGCGTGAGATCTCAAGTGCGGTGCACCTTTGTGACGAAGAACGTATTCCGTCCAATAAACAACCGATTCAGCCGGTGACATTGGTAGGTCTTTAAATCTATCAGAAATAATTTTAGCATTTTTTGAGTACCTGAAAATAATTAATATAATATTTTAAGATTTGTCAAATTCAAATAAAATGTGTCGTTTTTTTATGTCCACTTACGTTTCATTGTTAATAATTTCATTGATAGCATTTAAAAGTGTATTTTTGGATACTGAAAACAAATCCAATGACAACGCCATACCTTCATCGACCAAATTTGCTATATTTCTTGGTTGATCATAAAACAAGGGGAATCCTAGAATTGGGACACCAGCGTCCACAGCTTCGTAGATTCCTGATATACCTCCATGGCTAATAAATAACTTTACATTTGGATGCTCTATACAGTTATACGAAGTATTCCTATTTAATTTGTTGATATTATTTTAATTTAATGGTTTCATACTCAGTATATCTCGTTGGGGCAACCATTTGCTTGTCATCACGTTTTTTGGTTTATCCTTCATCTCTCCTTCATATTTCAACAATACATTTTGAGGAACTTCAGCTAATGCATCTTTAAATACATTTTGAATATACTCCGGCAATTTTGATAGTGCAATTACAGTACCAAATGTGAAGTAAATTACTCCATTTGGCGATTCCTCGATAAATTTTAAAATATCCTGTAAATTTTTCAAATAAATATTACAAAATTTTATAAAGTAAGTTTTAAGTATATCAATATTTTAAAGTGTCACAAATAGAAATTGTGTTTACTGATAGATGTATAAGATCAGTCGCGTATTTCCAGAAGGGGATTTAAGTGTTATATCTCCTTGCCATTGTTTTACAAAACTATTTTATCATATTTATGTACTTATTTAACACGTCAATAATACTAAAATACTAAAATATCCTAAGCTATAATATCATTTAAATAATGACACCATTTGCAATCGGACGTATAGTTTCCTCATAATCACACCTAATTTAACCTGGAGCCTAGAACATTGTTTTAATTATTTTATTTTATATTTTTATTATTTAATCAAATATTAATGAATATTTGAGATAAAATTTTAATACATAAATAATGCGGTAATTATAAAAATTAATAATTATAATTATTATACAAAATAAAATGTTTGTGACGTCCTCGCTCAAATAATAAATACAATTAAAAAATGTTAATAAAAATCAATTACTGTTTTCCTCGTAACCTACACGCCATATTATTACAAAAGCTCGTTACTTTATTTCCTATAGTTAAACTTCAAACACAGTTAATCGAAACAAGTAATTAATTTGAGGCCACGATACAATCACCGATTCAACAACTAAAGTAAGATTGAAAATGCAATATCATTCTTACACCTTTATACCTATACACTGCAATAGACACCCAACGAAAATTTATAGAAACTTCACTCCTCGAAAATTTGTCTTGACTACCCGACACCCGAGGTCATTTCTATATTACCACTCAAGAATCTACGAGTTACGACAACTAAAATTTACTACCAACGTGTTACCTTTTAAAATGCAATATCATGTTCTTGCAGTCGCATATCTGAGCTTAGAAGTATCTCAAATTTTATCTAAGGGAGAATTGTAATTACAATTTTTAGTACAAATCTTGATACGCGAGTCATATCTTTTTATCTATTATAATCATTTTTATTTTATACTCTATTAATTTATAAATTGTATTATTATAAATAAAATTATAATTTATAAAACAAGCCAAGATCCAACTCCCAAAAGGAAGGCCTTAATTAACCTATAGCACTCCTTAAACATTATAAATTCCAGTGTTCTTGTAGCAATATGTACAAATACAAATCCTTTAATTTTATTTTTGATAATAGTTTAATTTACCACCTTGCATTAATGTACTTATAAAATATCAATATGCCGTATAATTTTAAATTATTTCAGTAAAAACAGTAAAGTTAGGTATGCAAAAATGAATTCCAAAAAATACTTACATTATTATTTTAAAATCTAATATGTCTCGATTCCCATGCGTATTTTTTAATATTTGAATGTTTAAAATAATATACCTTTCAGGCTTTATACAGTTTCCACAGTAAAAGGGAAATAATATCAAGACTGTATTACTGTAATAATAATATAATGTGGGTCTCAGTATAGTATGGTAAATTTAAAATGTACAATTGCACCATGATAAGAGTTTTAATCTCGGCGTCCATGACGTAGTGCTGTATACAATATGCGTATGCATCACAATACAGTGTAATGTATATAAATACACACACGAAATTATTGGCTTATGATGTATAATATATTAATATATATTTAATGAGTAATAGAAATTTATTTCTAATGACACCAAGAATATATATATATATATGTGAAGATTGCTTTGATTAATTATCATACACACCCTTTTAATCTATTTGTCTCTTAAAAAATTAAATTTATGAAATCGGATGTATATAAGTTTCTAACAATAGTTAATAAAAGTCAATCATTTTTAGTTAAATTTTAACTGATTAGTAGGTAGTAGGTACGTTCAAAAACCTATTTCACATTGATCTCTTAACTCTTTTAAATATTTGATTGCTATATATTCTGAAGATATTTATTAAATAAGTATGTGATGATTGTATTCTAGCTACCTAACCATTAATTAAACAATGATTAATAGTATTTATTATTCACGAGGAGCGAACTACCAGTAAATAGGTAGTTAACTATATCAAAATATGTCTGTAGTTTATCAAAACCAATATACACTACTCCACTATACAAAACAATTTTTTCTTGTCTATGCAATATTATATCTATATACCTACTATTTTAATGATAAAAAATGTGTAAAGACGTAGATTATACAAACGTTACTGTCTATATTGCATCAGTAGCATGCCGAAATAAGTTTTTTTGAGGCAATTGCCTCAAGACAAAATGGTAGGTAGGTAAGTGGATACCAGATAATGGATTAAGTGCAATAAAAAGTTTTTAATGATAATATTTACATTATTAAATAAAAAAAAAGAAAGTAGATTAATAGCTGCGGGTGCATGAGTATTCAAATGGTATAGTTTACCTCAGGTCTGAAAATTATTCAGCGCGCTACTAAGGCATAATGTCATGTTTGCATATTTCCTGACATTCTTAAAATTATAGTCATAGTATTAAATACCAACATTCAAAGATAACTTAAGCGGGCTAATAAGTTCTATCGTCTCTATAACACGATATTAAAATTAAGTACTATTTACTGTATATTCACTAATTATTGTTAAATAAAAAACGTTAGAGTTATTTGACCATTTATAACGACTAATAATAATAATTATATATTTTATTGTTAAAAAATCAGAAGTTATCATTATTTTTACTATCAAGAGGTGTCAAAAACCATAATATATAAATAAATTATTAATATAAATGTATGACCATGGATAACCTTTTTGTAATGTTAATCTTTTTATAATTTATATAAATATCAGATTTTCATTACAAAAATATAATTATGAAATTAATATTAGGTAATAAAATATCAAATGTTTATTTTATTAAATAAAATAACGGTATAATATATTATTTTTAAATTATTTAAAACGATTTTTTTTTAATTTATATCTTGGATAAATTAATATTTTTAGATTATTACTGAAAAAAAATTTATTTTAATATAAATATATTAAGTATTATGAGAAGACGATTAAAACTTTTTAAGTACTATTATTAGAAGTATTTATACATAGAGAGATACTCTGATATGTATAAAACAGAAAGTGAAATGTTCCAATATTTATCTCTATTTGATTATAGCACATATAAATAAACGATGAAAATTTATTATTAATATTAAAAACAAGCCAGTAACTAAAACTAGCTGACTGTAATATTATATTTTTAAATTTCTTAGGAACAATGTTAAAGACACTATTCTTTATCATCTATAGGTATAGCATGAGTTATTCATTCTTCGATGCCTTATAGTTCCAATTATTTTTTGTTCAAAACTAATTTACACCTAATACTGATTTAAGCCTAAATTTTTTGTCTTATACCAGATTGTTAGGTAGTAAATAGAAAATTTTTCTTAAATCATAGTAATAGATTGAAATACCTATATGAACACAAACTACATAACAAATTTCAAAATAACCATACTAAACAATAAGGTATCCTTGAGAAATTGCATATAAAGCGAGAAATTCTTAAAACTAACAATCGTCAAACGATTTGCGTAGAATCACAAGTGTATAGTAGCGTGCACAGAGAGAGGAGAGCAGTCAAGGTTTCTGCAAATATATAATACACGCGGTTCCCGTGAACGTACAGTTTTAATTTTAAATTTTGCGCGAATTTCTTTTCCTCTCAAAATCAAAATCATATTAGGTAAGTGTCGAGAAATACGCATTTCCAGTTCTTTCTTAGCGAAAATTCTAAGATCTTCGAATACTTTCTCTTTACGAATACGATGTACCTACCTCTGTGCCCGCGAAGACGTGGACATACAAGCCTAAGTTTTTTTGAAATTCGCACGAACATTTTTCCCCCGTAAAATTACATAAAACGAAAAATACACGGAATCGACCAACAACTGCAGGTGTCACCAACAGCACTCTTCGTTTTAAAAAATTAATTTATTCCGCAGTAGAATTAAATTTTTTTTTTTTTTAATTACTGTCGTTTCTACGTATTTAAAACGACACGACTTCTATAAACGTGACTTACCGAAGGTATCGGTTCAATCGGCGGAAGGTGTATACCGCCGACCCGGATCATGTTCTGAACGACGGGCACAGATTTCTCCACGGTCAGGTCCGTATTGACGAACGTGACGGCGGGCTTACGGTAGCCGGTCTGATCGTCACCCCATTCGTACAGCCACTGTAACGCCGCCATCACTGTCCAGCCGTACGCGTTGTCCAGCCGTCTGGCCAGCGTGTCGAGCACCGCGTACCGGGCGAACAGCCGGGCCGCATACGACGGGCCGGGGCTGGTGCCCAGCACTTTGGCCTCCATCCACGAGGCCATCGGCGACGGGAACACGTACACCGCGAGCGGCGTGTCGTCGCCCAGCGCGCCGGACAGGCGGGACACGCACTCGGACGACACGAGCTCGACGACCACCATGTCGTACCGCACACCGCGGGCTGCAAAGTGACCGGCGGCCAACATCCGGTCCAACAGGTCGCACGCGCTCCGGCTGATGTCCACGGCAACGCCCACGAACCGCCACTGATCCGCGAAATTGGCGACGGCCGTGCGCACGTCCATCGCCACTTTGTCGGACACGCCGAGCCGGAACGGCAGTTCCGCGTACCCGCAACCGACGGGGCCGCCGTCACAGACGCCAGCAGTGGCTGCCGATGACGACGCGAATGGCGTGTACACGGTCACGTTGTGACCGCGGCCACCGGTGGCCATCGCCCTGACCACCGCCCGCATGAACGTCCAATGGCTCCGGGCCGGCAACGGTTCGATGGCCAGCACGTTGACGGCCGCCGTCGGAGCCGAGACCCCGCACAGCACGACGAACGCTACGCAGGCCGCGGCCGCGGCGGCGTACTGTTTCGTGACGCGTTGCATATTATCGTACCTACCTATGGGCACGAAACGTCGAAATCGTTTGTTAACGAGTGGCGTGAGAGTGCGGGTTTGATGAGGTAATTTTGTTTTTAACTTGGAGGAAGCAATGCGAAAGCAGTCCCCTCCCGGTCGTCGGTTCGAACAGAAAAAAAAATAATTTTGTTTTTAACTTAAAAATTGTTTTTGTTTTTACCTGATTTCGTGATCTATTCCATACGGAATATTTCTAACGGTTTTTGTTCGAAGACGTTTTTCGATGAACGGCGAATGAATACGGACACGAATCACTGAATTTTAGACTCGCCACGTTATTGTGATTACCGAATGTTATCTGTTTATTTAGATTAGGTCTCAACCGACTCAACCAAAGGTTACATATTGTTATATGTATTTATTATCCCACGCGTTTGTACATTTTTTACAATGATTATTCGTTTTTACTTATATTTTAAACGAACATTACATTTCTTACCGACCATTTTTATAACACTCGTTTATGCAAAATGAAATATTATATTCTCACGTAATATAAATAAAATAATTGTACTGGCCAGGAGCTGCAACGTGCGCCCGGATACCGACCTAATTTTGCGGCACACTAACACCTATAGTAAGACTGGTGATAAGCGCATATGAAACTATGATACTTATGATAACACAAAAATCTTTTAATACCTACTGTAATAATAAAAAAAAAAAAAATACTAAAAAAAAACAAATGAATGCAACTAAATATGCAACAGTACTTGTAGAAAAAAAATCACGGCGGTCGTGTTAAAACATCCGGGCAACCAACGCGGTGGCATGCGAAAACGAAACAAACATAAAATGAACAAATAATGTTGTAAAAATTACAAGATACACTCAATAAAAATAATTAAAACAACGCGATAAATGGCTATGTGTGTGTGAGACCAGCTATTCTTTCCTTGACCGTATTACCTACTTAATTTATGTTGCAGCGGCAACAATTATAAAAATAAAACTTATGATTTATTAAATCAACACGTTTTAAAGCAGTTTTATATGCATCTCTAGTTACTAAGGACACATGCAAACATAATATAATATATTAAAATGCATAATTATATATTAAAATAATACATATACGTAAAATCTAATTATTCAAAAAAAAAAAAATTGTAATAATAAAAATGTTTTTTTTTTATGTATAGTCATTAGTACAAATTAACTTACTTAACAAATAATATGTGTTCATGTATATGCGTTTTGCAGCAATATTAAATGGCTTTATTTAATATAACTAGGTGCCTATTTGCATAATATCATAAAACCCTTTTAACGTATTTATAGATACATTTTATTCATAAATATTAGAAATAGAGGAGAGTTGTATTTCAGAATATGGGAAAAATTATAATATACATATGCTATTAAAAATTTGATGTGACTGTTAGAATGATTTATCTTCAGTTATATATTTGAATAAAAAATTTACTACACTATATTATATCCCTAAATAAGTAGGACAATTGTAATTTAACGTATAATGAAGATAATACATCAAATTTAGCGTGATTTTTTGACGTACAACACGTATTTTAAATAAGAAAATTTTAAATGTTTTTAAAAAAAAAAATATTTGATACAATTTTGACTTAAAACATTCCAACGAATGGTTCATAAATTTGAATTACCTTTACGGCTTATTACATCAATAACTACGATAAGGCTACCTATAAGAGTTTTCATCTCGTCGTCAGTGCCTCAGTGCAGGAAGGATATCAAACAAGATGCTTCACCGTATACTGTACGTACATCATATACGAATACATAGCGGTCGGAGCACGGTCAAAAATATGTGTCAAAAATATCCACTCGATTCACCCACACGGGTCCGAAGGTTCTATAACGTAGTGGTAGAGCGTGTTGACGAACACTTGCAGGGGCTATCTTTTGGGTTGCCCGAGTTCGTAGGGTCGTCATTTAGAGGTCACCTCGAACACACCGCGCATACCGGTATAGGGTGCATAAAGGGCGGTGGATTTAGGTAAATATGGCTATGCAGCCATCAGTAGACAGTGTCAGCTACGAAATATCCTGTGAACACCTGTGACGCGACTACCGGGTTACTATAATTACCGAACGTGGACGTCTCGATCCTGCAGGGATACTGTAGCGGCACGCGGGCCACGGCGCAAACGGTCGAAACGCCGAGCTGGCAATCCGCGTGCGACACGTACTCGCTGCGCAGCGATTCCTTTTCAAACAGATCGTAAGTGCCGGCATCCCGTCGCAAAAATCTGCCATGGTGTCACGCATAAAACAGTCGGCAATGGCTATCGATGACACCACAGCCGGACGAAAATAGCACGTGAGCGTCCACGTCGACGGCCGTCACTGTGGCGTCCGTTCCGTCGCGCTCGCCGTCCACTGAGATACAACATTACAATTGAAGCGTTTAGTGTTGCAGCACTCTACCCGCGACTGAGTGTGTCTTGGAGGACATATAGGCACGCATCGATCCGCTAGCTCAAGCTAGCCAACGGCAGTCGTGTGTAAAACGATTTATCGTCGAAAATTATAATTTAACCCATTCGTTACAGTTACCTGTATTGAATGTCATCGGGTTCGATCTACAACTATACACGTGCAGAGTGACTTCCCGCGACTTTTCACTCTGATATCGCAATTTATTGATATTATAAATTTGTCAATTTTGAAACAACCGACAAAATATTTTATGAACTGAAACATTTTCTTTTTAGGCACGTTAATGAATTATACGTGTGAACATTGTTTAAACGCACTACCGTATTTTAAAACGATATACCAGATATCTGGTTAAATTACAAAAGACAACGTATAACCGTGGATCCGATTTTATTGTAAAATAGAATTTCACGTATAATAGGTTTAGGTGTATAAACATAATATTTTCACAACCGCGGTACCTTCATAATGATATAATGCCAGATTATTCACATTACTGGAAACATTTATAGGTGATAAACATTAAATCTATGCATGCATGATGGAAATCTAGATTATTTATCAAAGTTATTATTTAAACATATTTAACTTTAATGTATCTGATGATATAAAATTATCGTGTATTTATGTAGTCGGTAAATGTTTAAATCGGTGTAGTGCCAAAAGATAAATTTTGGAGTTCAAACCACAACAACTAATCTAAGCTAAAATAATTTGTATCTATTGTTTCCTCAATTTTCAAATCACAATAAATAATAATGGGGTATAAATTATAAGCAGTTATATTCATTTTTATGGATTTAGGTTGATACAATTTGATTATTTTTTAATATTATGATAACAATAGCTTATTTAAATTAATAAAAAATATTAATATTTTATGGCATAGCTTCTAATTGCATTTAGACAAAAATGTTAAAAATACACATGTAATTTCTAAAAATGTTTAATCAGTTATATAATTATTTTATTAAAAAGAAATCTGACAATTTAACATGCATGATATAATAAATGTCAAATGTTTCTAAGTTCATACAAAGTTTTTGTATTCAAATAGTAGCATTTATTCATGTATAAAAAGTAATAGAGGTGGTGTAAAAACATTATTAAAGAAGTCGAAATGTGAATACTAAAATTTAATATTAGATTGCCAAAAGTCTAACAATTATAATACATGAATCAAGTTTACGGCGTATGGTATAGGCATTATATGTACAATATGTACATCCTATCATTTAAATCATACATTTTTAGGCATCTACTAGAATATCTAAATATTATTTTTATTTTTGAGCAATAACAAAGTCCTGATATCAACTCATAGTTTATAAATATAGTCACGATATTATTAAAGCAATTATTCTAATTGAATTACAATAATATTTTATTTATATTTTATATGCTTAAAGAAAATATAACTTAAAAGTAAGTATATAAGTTCTGTAGTTCTGTTTATGTTTTAATAAGGATTTAAGTTTTATTTATTAATGTAAACACCCATGAGAGTTAAAGTATAGTATATGGAAATAATAAAAATTTTAATTTATACAAAAACTATTGGCATATTAAATATTACATGACATAATATAATAATAAATAATAAGATATTTTATCATATTAAAAACATTTCAATTAATTTAACTAGATACCTAAATATATTTTACAAAACTATATTATGAAATATAAATAACTTAATATGCTTTAATTTAAAATTGAAACACAATTTGAATTTATAACTAAAATATAATTACGGCTCTTGATGATGTCAATCATTATGCATTCATTACCATTAATAAAACGAAATGGACTCATGTTTTCAACAAACGTTTATCATTTCCTAACCTTAATTCCACGCAAATTGCCTTGGGAACTGCTATGGTAATTTATAGACACTGTGCTCAACATATTTAATATACAATATTATTACAACTATAAATAACACCAAGCTGCAATGAAAATGGCTGGTGCATAACAGAAGCATCAAGCATATGGTTATGAATGTTATGATATAACTGCAGTTATATTTATGCTGAATACAGAGCTGAATTAATTTTCCTAACATTTAATTTTTCCACATAAATATGAATTCTAAAAAATAATGTTAATTTTAAGTATATTATATTTCATTAAAATTACCATGTATTATTTGGGGCTACAGTTATAATACACAAATAAGTATTATTTATATTATACTCGTATAGTTGGTCTGACGAAACTGTAAAACCTTGATTACTAGACGAGTTTTAATTTTAAAAATTTATTTTTACTCATTAATAAATGTACTGTTAACTTGCAAATAAGGTATATCGTTGGTACCCTTTAATATTATAATTTATAATTTTATTACATTGTATGATAACTAATATTAAGATATCGGATTTAAAATAAGAAGACAATAAAATTAACAATGCGTACTTAGATTTAAGTATTTAATTCACAAAAAGAGTTTAATCCCATAAAAATACAAATCTTTGCATTGAATATGTGGCGCATTATAGATTACCTTGATAAAACATTTGCATAAGTTAATAATAATATAAAATAAACTTAAAAATTATATATATTTTTTTTTTTTTTTTTTATTTAAATTAGTTATTATTTCTGCGAAGACTCGTTGGTAAATTGATTGATTACATTACATCCAAGTATTCAAATTATATAAAATGTATCGTTCAATCATGTAATTAAACTATTCGTTTTTAAAACATTTTCATCATATTTTAATGTTTTTTTCTCCTGTGTCTATACTCTAAAATATATGAATTATGTAGTAAAAAGCTATATTGTAGTGGCGTCACCTCCTGTGGTTTATTGTAAAGAGCTCTTATATAGATTTTTGAGCGCCAAACATTTTTAATGCTGTTCCGCTAAAGCCATGACAACCAAAGAGTGAACGAGTAAAACAGAGAGAGAGAGAGAGGGAGAAAGAAAAAAAAGAGCGTGATTAGAAGCCATAAACTCTAAAAATAATCTAAAATAATAACAATATAATAATTTACTGTAAAAAATCGGAAATGCTTTAACAACAAGTTATATTATTAACCAATAAAACACGCGTAGCAGTAATTAATAAGATAGCTGTATTAATAAAATATTTCAACCAACCTAAAATACTCGTATTTTAAAATTCCTAATCTTATTTATGAAACAAAATAAATATTTACTGAAAGTTTCATGGTCACGTGAAGATTATTTCAAAAGTTATAAGACATTATGATGATTGGTTTTAAAAATGTATAATACTATTAATCATAATTCATATTAACTGCAAATATAGCCATTTAGTTATTCTTTCCACATTTTCAACAAATTTAAATTATGACAAACTCAAAGTACAGTATATGTAAAATTTCCAATCAATTAACTTTGGATAAAAGGGATTAGAACACATTAATAATGCTAAAAGTATTTTTAGATAAAATAAAATATAACAAATTAAAAAAGTAATA